TCAGTATCCTTTTATTCAAAACTATTACATTTCGATGACACTCCTTGAAAATTCCCAGTGCAGACTAAAAAATGAAATAGTATTCGTGATCTGCTATAAATATGATAATATTCAATCTCGTATAYGAGAATGATAATAAAAAAATAGAAATGAAATAGAATTAAAATAAACATTATTATTATTTAATCAATAATTAACATATTTAGTGCCATTAGTGTTCTTGATCAACATTTCATGTCTGTTTTTTTTTTTTAGTAAGAAAATCGTTTAATCAGTCTACTAAGCGGTCTACATTATAGAAAAATTACACGGAAACACCACTTATTTTTATTTTTTTTACTATTCCTATTTTAATCGAAAAACAAATTCCACCTTGTCTGGACWCGTGTTTACCACGAAGCAAAAGGCCGACGAATGCCGCTAAATATTCGCTATGAACTCAAACGTTATCATGCTGATAACATTCTTCTTTCTAGAAAAAAAAATTTCCGCATAGCCGGATTGCGCAGCTTGATCCAACTTCCGCTGAGGGTGGTGACTCGTAAAACGTTATATTTTTTCTGTGACATAACATTACGGTAWATATACCATAAATATGTATTAATAGACCCAATAAGAGTAATTTAAATGATTAGGTTCGCGTATTTGAGTCGTCGCGATACTGTGATATAAGAGTTATTAATTAAAATAATTATTACGTCATTTTTCGCGATAATTATAATTATTTATTAAAATATTTCAACTTTCAATAATATGCATATCATAATAGGTATTATGTTTTTCCATTATTATTTTTGTTATTATTATCTTTATGATAAGTTTATTTTTCTTATTGGCTACGATGAAATGTAAATAAAACCGAGTTGTAATAACATAACAAACTCCATAATGAACAATAAAATGAATATACTCCAGTCATYAGCAATTGTAGTTGTAATGTTTTTGATTATTTTTCTTGTTTTTGCGAAATACATTCCATTATACCGATTATACCACGTGAAGCACTGTGACAATTCAGTGAGTATCGGCYACGATTTTTATATTGTAAAAAAACAAACAATTAATGCACACACCTGTGTGTTTTATATCCAGACATCAAACGGAAATACCGAAAACAAAACTGATTCATCTCCGCCTATAAAATCGCCGATTTCGTTTCTTATTGTAAATTTTGTCTACGTTTACGCCATTATGATAATCATTATTTGTTTTTACGGCTTATATGGATGGGCCGCGATGAACGTGATAGTTGCTATTGAAAAATATTCAAAACAAACCTGTAATATCGAAAATGCTGATAACAGCAGCAGCGACATCGTTTTGATTTCACAAAATGCAGAGGACGATAAATTGATTCCCGAGACAATTCCATTGCAAATTTTATCAGAGACAATGGAATCTATTAATACTAATAATGACCATTGTACGTGGGTAGGCGATTGGAACAAATATTGATAGGTACTGTCTAAAATCGATTATAAGTATAACATTGACTTTATTATAGATAATTCAAACAATTTTAATATATACCTATCATATGTAACAATGTAAGGTATGTATTAATTAATAATAAAATGTATACAGTTTATAATCTTAAATAAATATTGGAAAATAATAATAATATTTAATCGATTATTAAATTGTTGATTCGAATTGCGTGTTAAAATAAATGTTTGTTGGTACAATAMTATTTATGTTTGGTTGTATGCTATAATGGTGTACATAAAAAAAAGATTTTGTGGCTTCGCGTTACTCAATAATATTTATGCGCCATATATTTTCAATTGATTTTTCATAGAGCTTAAGTAAACAAAAATAACTTATATCAATAAACATGTAAATAACACAACCATAGGAACAAAAATATTTTAAACTGTAGATTATTATGTACTAAAAAATTA